CTCCGATCCGATTCCGATCATTTGATTTTGACAATCTGCCGATACCGATTTTTTCCCGATCCGATCTTTATGCAATGCATTAACCTGTTCCACTCTGAGCCTGTTTTTCAGGTCTCAGGCTCGAAAATGACATTCCCAGAACAAATGACCATATCTTCCCTTCTAAAAGGGTTAAATTAATAATCTTTTCTCAAAGTAATGATAACCTGTGAGTTGGATGTAGAAGTGTCAGAATCAATATAAATGTTTTTTATTTTAAAGAAAATTCAGATTTTACATAGTAAAAAACTGTAAATTATAGTGTCCGTCCAAAAATTATTTTTTACAGATAGTGAAAACTACCCTTGGATGATGGGTTAGTAGACTAAAAGCTTTAGGAATCCAAAGTACAACATATAATAAGTACCCTGTATCAAGATTGATGCAAAACAAGTTAAATTTGACCTTTTTAGAGAGATTTAGCCAAAAACTGAGCCATCTGGGGTCATTTGGGTGGATTTGACCTATCTCTGGCCCCCCTTGCTCGATCTGGTTGGTGACATACCCTTGTGACCGTTAGAGCCAATAGAATCGAAGGAGGATACTCACATAGACACACATTGTAAAGAAAAAATGTTGCCGCTTCGCGTGTGGAAAGCGAAACTAAACTGGAGGAATGTCTCCTTCTGGAGTTTGGAAACTAAAACGCAGTTGTATTGCTTATGGATTATCAGAAATAATTTCAAAGAAGGCACAGACACATAGGATGAACCTATGGATTAACTGCAGCATCGTTTTTTTATCGTTTTAATGCCATTGAAGACCACTTTTTGACCAAGGTAAGATATATTTACGTGTTTAGCTTCTTAGCTCCACATGTGATGATGTACGCTTTCGTTGATAGCGTCGCGAATGTTTATCACTGAGTGTTGAGGTGGGCACCGTTAGATTCAGTGTCTCCAGGACACCAACAAATAGTGTTTGGTTGTGCATCTAGGATAAGTAATAAGGGAGTTCTGAGTGAGTTTATGTGCCTTTGTCGGTCCCGTTTTTTCGATCGAGGCTAATTCAGAGGCTGAGTGCTAGCATTGTGGGGTTTTTTTGGAAAAAAAAAATTAAAAATTTCAGTTAGCTGAGTTTCTTCCCGTTTACATGGATATAACACATTCATAGTTTTATTCAATATTAAGATTCCTTAGACGTTGTTTCCTGCAAATGACGCGTTTATCCGCCCGGTACCGGGGGGAAGGCGTGAAACAGGTTAAGAGAAAAAAAAGGTAACAGATAACGGCTGGTCATCCAACGCGATGAATTCAGCTATCTTGGCTGTTATGTTTTTGGCCTTTTCACTGTTCTGGGGCAGTTTCTCTTTCCTTTTAAAAGTCTCTGAAAGTGTCGGTTGTTTCAGTGCCGTTACCTGAGTGGCCGCTGTGTACTCGTCGTGTTGTTGTTGGTGTTTGTATTAGATTGGTCGTGTTGAACGTAGCTCTGTTCTTTCCACCACGCGGAACCTCCGCCTTGCAAACATTGCATCTGGCTGTGACACTGCCTTCGCTTTCAATGTTATAATACTTCCAAACTCCTGACATTTTCTCTGTCCCGACTCCCGAGTCACCAGCTGAACGTAGCCTCTCGTTAGCTTACTGCTACTATTAGACACTGCGCCCTGCCCACTCTGTTGCCAGATTTGAGAGAAATAAGCAACCAGGTCGATGAAAACAAGCCCAAAAGAAGCAATACATACATGATGTTGTGTAATTTTAAACCAAAATTAAGGCCTCAGGATGACTTTAAGACGTGAACATGGTCATTTTTGTTTTGTAACATTAAATTAAAAAAAAAAAATGTATAAAAAAAAGAAAAAAAAATTCCCGATCCCCGATTTTTTTCTCCCGATTCCGATCTTTTGAAAATCACGTGATCGGGGATCGGAGCCGATCACGTGATCGGATCGGGACATCTCTAGTAAAATTGTCTTTTTCTTAGACCTAGTCAATACTCAGGAGATATACAATCAGAATGATCAATCAATAAAATGGTGGAAACAGAGTTGTCTTTCTGGATCTTTATTTGAAGCTTCAAATAAGGCACAGGTCTTACGGAGTACAGAGTATTCTGAAAGAGTGCGCACAGAGAGAGAATTGCGCATAGGTTTTATAGCATCTTCGTCAGTCCACAGTTCAACAATAACTCGTGACCTGTCACTCTGGGGGGGCTGGATGGGCAGATAAGCTAAAGCCCACATTCCAGAGGAACAGAAGCCACATATGGGCAATGTAGTAAATCAGGAACTTAGTAAAACAGGAACTGGGTAAAGACAGCTGGAAGTGTTGAAACTCTAACCCCCAATGTGTTAAAGCCAGGTGAAATGAGGACAGCAGGAAGTCATAGAGAGGTCAAAACAGATATAAACAAGGAATGAGGAATTCATTGCAAGACAGGGGAAACAAACACAGGCACTTGTTTGAGACACTTGGGGACACTTCTTCACTTTTGCTTATGACCCTGTTTCACCCCCAGACATCCTTAAGGCTAGTTATATGTTGAACAGAGGGCATGGATTAAAATACCTCCTCATGGGACAACTGCATAGCATTTTACCATATTAGGTAACACATAAAGTTAGTTTGCGCATCATATAAAGTTTACACTACATATAGAGTTTGCCATTACATATAAAGTTTATAAGTATACACTGTTATAAAGTTTTCCACTACAATCACTCATCAAAGATAGCAGATAAACATACATTATGTAGGCTACTATGGAGGGGACTCTGACAGAGGATTACTCAAAAAGTACACAGTAAAAGTACATCATTTCATTTCTGGTAGCAGTCAAACTAGTACCGAGTCCAACAGTGTCAGTTTTATTAAGAACTTTTGGTATAAAACTCTAGAGTATGTTTGTGCCACAAGTGGTACAGAGCTCTGTCCCACTTGTGGCTTTCTGGCACCATGGTCACCTCAAATCAGCTGCTCTTCATTTTTTCCCTGCTATATTCAATGAGTGATACAAATATTTTTGTCCACAAGTTCTTAATAAAACTGACACTGTTGGACTCTGTACTAATTTGACTGCTACTGTTACACCACTCAGACCGCAAGGGTATTATAGGTGTAGAAAACGTTCATTTATTAACTTCCACAAGGCACATGTGCAAGATGTCAGCATCTCAAACGATCTCAAAGCACAACACACAGACACACTTCTTCTGTTCATCTCCAGCATAAAACAATGATGAACCATCAGGTGATCTGCCCCCTTGTGGTATAAACATGCATGTGCAGGTAGACAACCTCAACCTTATGGGTGCTACACTACCAGAAATGAAATGAAGTACTTTCACTGTGTACTTTGTGAGTAATCCTCTGTCAGAGTCCCCTCCATAGTAGCCTATCCAGGCCAGTCTCTAAAGAAGTTCCAAGGTGTAAAAATGCTGCTGCCGGAGTACTGACTGGAAGTATTGCTGATATCATGTCTACCATCCTCTTAAAATACTCTGTCCAACAATATCAGTCTCAGGAAGAAATGTTTTTTAACGCTTATTAAAAGAAAAACATGCATTCTTGTACTCGGGAGGGGACATTGACAGAGGATTACTGGAAAAGTACACAGTAAGTACTTCATAGTACTTGTGGGGGTAGTTTCAGTAGTACTGAGTCCAACAGGATCAATCTCACGAAGAACTAATGGCAACAACAAATAATTCCCTCATCAAACTTAGCAGAAGTGGCTTGATTTTGTTCTCAGCAGGGGACTTTGACAGAGGATTTCTCAAAAAGTACACAGTAAAATTACTTCAATGTATTGTTAGTAGTAATATCCTTCAGCAAAGTAACACACTCTGTCACTCTGGTTGCCCTCTTATGATGCTGCTGTCTTTTAATATATAACTATTTCTCAGCCGCTAATTCGTTCCTCGCAGATTCTTCAGTCTCATCAGCCTCATCCTTCCATCAGTCCCAGTCAACGCCTCCAGCACACTTCCAGTGTCTGACTCCATATGATATTGTCCTGATGCTGTAAGGGTGATGCCCCATGATCACAAAATGACCCCTCTAAAGTCTGAGTGCCAAGGACCTCATATTATGTCTGTCATTAATGTTATATCACCCATTATAACAGTTTTCTTTCCTTTTTTCTCTTCTCTTAACTGAATAGTCCTGTCTTTAAGTATAATACAATGTAAAGTCCTTTTCCTGAACCATTTTAAGGCTTCAAAAACAGCAATTTTTACTGTATGAGATTGGAGAAATGACACAATCAATGGCCCAGAATTGTACTTTATAAACTATGAATCTTGTGGTGCTTGAAAAAATACACACTGGCTAAGCCGGCCAGGTTATATATGCCTTTTTTGGAGCCCTTTTTTGCAATATTTATTAAAATGTCACTAGTTATTTAAGGCGAGACACCCCAGGTGAATAGGGTAATTTTTTTAACTTAAAGATATCAGCTAAAAATTTCTCCAGTTAATTACTTACAATAAGGCAATTGTTTTTTGTATTACAAGTTTTCTGAAATAGCATGTTTAAATATCCAAATGAACCATTATCTCATGAAATATGCGCATATTTTAACACATTTCAGGAACCGAAATCTGAACTTTGGATAAAGCCAGGATCAAAATTATTGTTTCATTTTGTAGTCATATTAGTATCTAAGGCTTTTACAGAAGGGATTTTGGATATCTCTTTGTATCACTCCATAAATCAGAAAATACTGTCAATAGCCCTAAAATATCAATTTTCACCATGTTTTTAGGTATAAAATGTTATATAATTCAGGCTATGAATTATATATGACCAAACCCTTCTGTAAAAGCCTTCATAATATTGATAGGAATATAACTGGAAGGTTTGGTGTATGTAACTGCTACTGAAGTGGAAATTTCAAACTCAGAGTAGGAGAAAAAACTCATTTTGAGAAAACGACCTTTAAAGATTGCAGTGTGACGCTAGCTAAACCCTCCTGTTATCTGGATGATAGCTTGCGCATCGACGCACTCCGTGAAGGTATTTCATGTTCGGGGTCATTTGTTTTTTGTATAACTTTGCTTTGTGCAAGTGACAATTGTTGTCGTCTTCTCTGTGAACGTTTATTTCTCCGTTATTTTGCCATTTTCAGATTTAAATTTCGAGCGGAAAGCTAACCAGGAAGTGCTTTAGCACACCACATGACGCATCTGAACGAATCACGTTGTCAGAAATTGACACCAGCCAATGAGATTTCGTTTCTTGGTTTAAGACCCCTTTGCACTTTCACGATTGGTTGCTGATACAAAGGAAATGACCATATTTGGATCCGATGAGATTGTGCAGGAGAAACGGAGCTTTCTAACGATACCTCTGAAGACATGGTGCAAACAGCGGTCGCGGTACTTTATGTTACGTTAGAATGCTAACTTTTGGTGAATGTAGGAGAAATCTACAGACGCAAATAGACAAACTATAGTAAAATAAACACTTAAATGTGTATTTTGTACGTTTTCCTTCCAAAAGCCTGAAAGAAAACATGTTATGGAATCAAAATAGCACAAAATCTCAAAATTGACCAGTGCAGGAAAAACGATGTGTTTGCCTGCCGTGTCTCGCCTTAAACAAACCCCTATCTGAGGATAATACAAGCAACCATAAAACGCCCTTTATCTAGAGAGCCATTGAAGCCCATGAAGAATGTATCCTTCCACAAATCTTTTCATCTGCTGTATTAATAAAGCTGCCACGTGTTTTCAAATTCAAGTTAAGGCACTATCTGTCCAGAACATTACAAATATTCTTAATTTGCTGTATTTTATTTTAAAAGTGTTCAGAAAGACTGCATCAAATATGCTATATCTATATATCTATATAATATCAATATTGTTATTAACTTCAATCAAAGTAAATTCAAATAGCGGGCAAGACTTTCCAAGGGGTAAAAATGCTGCTGCCAAACTACTGACTGGAAGTATTGCTGATATCATGTCTACCATATCCTCTTAAAATACTCTGTCCAACAATATCAGTCTCATGAAGAAAGGTGTTTTAACGCTGATTCAAAATAGCAGAGAAACATGCATTCTTGTTCTCAGGAGGGGACATTGACAGAGGATTACTCAAAAAGTACACAGTAAGTACTTCATAGTAGCCTACTTGTGGGAGTAGTTTCACTACTAGCCTACTGAGTCCAACAGGATCGATCTCACGAAGAACTAATGGCAGAAAAAATTATAACAAACTCGAGAGACGGCTGAGCTGACCGCAGTGCAGAATCGCTGTATAGTTGAAATCTCCTAACAATGTTGTCCATTTTAGACATAGGTCTATTATATTTACAGCCCTTAATAACATTCATTTTCTGGGCTCAATATGTGTCTTGGCTGTTTTCGTTGTGAAAACAAATGGACCGTAGATACACGGATTGACCGTCCTCATCTGCGCTCTTATTTTGAAAGACAACTTCCGGTAGCAGAATATGAAAAAACGTTTTTTTTGTTTGTTTCTGTTTTCTAGTGATTTTATTTTTTGTTTTGAGAAGTAGAAAAAGAAAATCATCCCGTTTTTTAAGTTTAGTAAATCCCTTTTTGACCGTGATAAAGAAAAACGCCTTGTATTTCAATTTTGGTTTTTCAATTTGAAAACGAAAATCAAATATCCAGCCGTTTTTTGTTTTTGAATTTCCATTTGTGAAAAGAAAATCCAATGACCAAAACATACACTGACCCATTTCCTGTTTCTGCCGGAGAGGGGGGAGTTTGTCCCAAAGCTTGCCGCTGTATGTACTCCCTCCATCTGACAGGAGGGAGCCTCGTTGAGCTGCGTGTGAGACTCCACAGAGTTCACTCCGTCACGGAGGGGGAGTGTGTAGGGCGTGGTTTGGGATTGGGCCTCAGACCATTTTTAGTAAGGTAAAAAGCAAAAAGTCCTCAGACGCTTTTCCGTTTACTTGTTGAATAAAGAAAAACAAATGGACGGTAGATACACGGATTCAAACCCCTCTTATTTCTCTCAGCAGTTTTTCATGGACCGCTTTATTAGACTACAACACACGATGTATTTGTTTTATATCTCTCCAAAATACAAGTTAACAGGCCTACTAATATTTAAAACTTCTGATTTATGAAGATTAATCACAGTTTATGATCGTGATTTACGCGATTACTTTTTGTTTTAAATCAACTAACACAACTAACAACACATACGTCTGTATAGTTATGTAACCATGATGGCGCAGACACACGGACGTGAAAGGGGAAGTTTAGGCCTACAACATTTCAATATGCCACATCGGACTCCAAGACGTTGCTTTTTTATCGAGACTGTATTTTTCAGAGATAATGTAAAACAGAGTAAACATGAATTGTTTAGGAAACCCCAGCAGAG